AGCACTGCCCCCTGAGGCACCCCACACTCAAGAGGATGCCTCCGGGAGCGCTGGTCCCCAATCACCACCCTCTGTCCCCGACCTTGGAGAAAAGAGGCAAACCACTGAAGGGCAAGCCCCTGAATCCCCACGTCAGCAAGGCGGTGGGTCAGCAGCTGATGGTCGACCGTATCAAATGCGGCCGACAGATCTAACAACAGCAATGCCACCACACCACCTTGATCCAGATGCCTTCGGAGATCGTCTGTCAGGGCAACCAGAACAGTCTCCGTCCCGTGATCTAGGCAAAAGCCAGACTGGAAAGAATCCATGACTGAAGCGTCATCCAGAAAGCCCTGTAACTGTGTCGCCACCGCCCTCTCTATCAATTTGCCCAAATAGGGCAAATTGGACACTGGCCGATAGTTGACCAATTCGGCCGGGTCCAGAGATGGCTTTTTAAGGAGAGGGCAGACCATCACCTCCTTGAGTGCTTTGGGGAATCGTCCCTCGATAAGGGACTTGTTGACAATCTCCCGCAAAGCACCTCGAAACCCCTCATGACTCGCCTTAATGAGCCAGGAGGGGCACGGATCAAGGTCGCATGTGGTTGGGTGCACAGAAACAAGCAGCTTCGTCCAGGCTGAGTGGGCTAAAGCACTCTAAACCCGGAACCGAAGACTCGCAAGGGCCCTCGAGTTCTCTCACCATATAGGTATGAGCTTTTGTGAGTCACTGCTCACTTCTTCAAGTAATAAAGCAGGATCCAGTATAACCCCAAGGGTCAGTTGAACTCCATCAAAAGTGGGAGCACAGTGTCCTTCAAGACCTCCATCTTCCCAACCAGCATTATCTCTGTCTTTTCAGGGCTTAGTTTCAATTTGTTCACTTTTAGCCAGTTAACTACAGCAGCCAGGAAGCTATTCAGAACCTCTACTGCAACACCAGGAGATTTGAATAAAGATATATAGAGCTGAGTATCATCAGGATACTGATGGCAACCAACCCCCCGAAAAACAAATGATTTATCTCAAGGGCTTTGCACAATGATTGAAAGGCATGGGGGATAGAACTGTGCCCTGAGGAACCCTGCAAGATATGTCTCATACTGATAACAACTGGTTTTTAATAGCAACCCTTTGAGTCTGATCCATGAGGAATTATTTGAACCAGTTCAATGCACATCCTCATACCTACTTCTGCCTCCAACACCTCAACAAGATGACATGATCTACTGTATCAAAGGCTGCAAATAAAGTTATATTCTGGGCCTTAGAAAAACAGATATTTATTATTTATTACATTCAATTTCTAGACCGCCCTCCCCTGTAAAACAGGGCTCAGGGCAGTGTCCAATGGTAAAATATCAGCAGGAGATTACTGGCTGCCATATCTAGCTTGGCCTGATGCAGATACCAATTCTACTAGTGTTAGTTATTACATATATATTCACAGTCCATATAGGCGTTCATGTTGTTTTAGTTATACATAGGTCCAGCCTTTAAGATGGCTGCAGCAGTAGTGATCCTGTTCCCTTGTGTGGCCATACCATGCAGCATGTTGACAGCCACTCAAGCATATTACAACTGTTTATTATTCCTGAAGCTGAGCCAAAGGGCAGGCAGCATAATTAAAGAAGTAAAACAGAAGTTCATGGATTTATCCTGGTACCTCAACTATAAATGCTGGAGATAAGTGGCAGGGCTTCTCAGTTCCCTCCCCCCCCTTCTTGAAAATGTCATCTGGTGGCATAGCTGTGTGCCACAATAATAGGGGGTGTGTGTGGAGGGGAGGAAGTCTTTGTTTGGTTCGAATGATGAAGGAGATAGCTAATGATCCACTGGCAGTGTTTGACTTCCAGTGCAGCATAATGCTTGGCTTGCTTTTTTTGTCTCAAGGTAACTGTACTCTCACTCTCTCTGTCTCTCCCTCTCTAAAAATGCATCTGAAGAAGTGAAGTCTGACTCTCAAAAGCTCATGCTGTAAAGCTTTTTGTTCTACAGACTCCCGTATAATTTTGCTACAACAGGCTAACACAGCTGCCCCTCTGCTATTTAAGCACCTTCTGTTGTGCAACTGCTCTGCTTCTGGCAGAGTAGTCTGGAATGTAGGTTGCCCAGCAGCCTGTCACAGATCAGATGGACTTATATTGCAACAGGAGCTGGACTTCTTGTTCTTTTCCAATTTAGCAATGTTCATCAGTGGCAATGCATAAATCAACACTATCGCTATTAATAAGAGTAGCTATGATATTCCACTAACACCTTTCATCTATTTAAAGAACTGACTTAAAATAAACAAACAGGGCAGCATAGTACTTACAACTCCCAGATCTGGATGGGTAATGTTTACCGACACATACTCCATAAACTTTGCAAATCCTTCATTCAGCCAAAGATCATTCCACCACTCCATGGTGACCAGGTTTCCAAACCACTGTAAGAAAGATAATCTCATAACTAGGTATGACCCAGATTTTCATGATTGTAATTCCTTTAATTTGAATTTTGAGAAGAAGAAATTCTAGCTGTTCCCCATGTCCTACACTTCCTAGCAGTATCTACAAAAAAGGCCCACATTATGCTAAGTGGGCATACAATAGATAGGTGCCCAGGCACACTGCCTCCTGGCCCAGTTAACTCACTCCAATGGAATGAGGTCAGGAATGGGATGTTGCCTCCTGTGCCAACAGTCAGTGCCCCCCTATGGAGGCTTGCCTCCATGCCTGTTGCTGAGTAAAGCTGGAATTCCAACAGATATGGGCTGCTGATAACAGTAGTTTGCACCAGCACTAGGTACCCCACATCAAATCTCTAGAAAAAAGATTCTGCACCTTCAAAGTGCTTCAGCTAACCCTCAGCAATGTCTACCTGCCCCTCTCTCTGACTCTTCCAGAAACTAAACTCCTGATTCCTAATAGTTGCGCACATCAACCACTTCCCTGTAACTGGAAAAGGTGATCACTGTTTCCAAGCCCTGAAGGATGCTTAGACTGAGCCATTTCTTAATGCTTAAGATCTACTGAACAGATAGCTACAATCATTAACATTATCATTCTGGTGTCGTAGATTCTGACTTTCCCCACCTCTGTCAGCATCAAACTTTAGGCCAAGCCCACAGGACACTCATTAACAGTAACCAAATTTCAAGTACACCATAATACTTGTTAACACAAGGCACAATCCAACCAAAATTAAGCATTTTAATAACACTGCTTTCAGTTAGAAAGATTTATGCAAATGCTTTGTGACTCTCTTGAAACCAATAGTACATTGCACCTAAGTCTGCCTGCAACACACATTACTAAAACTGCAGACTGTTCACTGCCATGTCCAACCTATCTGTTTTAAAAAATTGCAAAAAGTAGGCAGGAAACGGAATGCATGACGTGCTGAAATGACACATAACCTGGTGAAATAAAAACCATGACGCTGAAGATTCTATTGGTAGTCATGACATTTATCATGAAACAAAGATCCCTAAACGCTAGCTTTTCACAATTTACACACCACTTCAGAAATGTAATCCTGCAACCAATTAACACATTACACACCTCCACCATCAGCCATCCAGACAATAAAAGATGTAACTCTCACTTTCACATTATAAATCTGAGCTGTAACTTACTTGGTGAGCAAGTTCATGGGCTATAAACATAGTAATCATAAGTCTAGATGATGCTGATGATTTTTCAGGATCATATAACAAGCCACTTTCCCTGTATGTAGTCAGTCCCCAATTCTCCATTGCTCCAGACTGAAAATCAGGAATAGCAGCTAAGTCTGCAAATAAATGATTCTGAAAATGTTATCTGCTCACACCACATAATTCATCAATGCACATACAAACTAGTACTTTTGCCTTTGGAAATTACTCCCACGGGATTTCTTTAGCCTAATTTACAGTATTAAAATGATTAACTCTATGTTTCTTCTTAAAAATACCACAAAACATTCCATAAAAAGAGCCAGTTTGGTAGTTAGTGTCAAACCTGGACTGGGGAGACCTGGGTTCAAATCCCTCACTGCAATGAAGCCTACTAGATTAAGTTGGTCTGAACTTTCTTCCGTGTACCTTACCTCAAAGGGCTACCGTAAAGATAGAATAGGAAAGGTGGTTTAAAAATCTGGTTTAAAAACCTAAAAACAAACTCAAAAATACCTTGTTTAGGCAAAGGATATGGAATGCTAAAATATCCCTCATAGAAGTCTAGTAGTTTCACTGCTGAATCCAAGGCATAGTCTGCTTGCTTGATCTTGTATGGAACAGTATATACTGAAACCTGAAAAACACAGGCATGTATAAATTCTGAATGACACCTTAAGAACTTACACAAACTCATTCTTATTCTAAAATGAGAGAAAAACTTGAAAGGTATTCCATATCTCATGTAGTTATCCCTTGTTGTTGTTGTTGTTGTTCAGTTGCACAGTCGAGTCCGACTCTTCGCAACCCCATGGACAAGATCACGCCAGGCCCTCCTGTCTTCCGCTGTCCTCTGAAGTTGGCTCAATTTCACATTCGTCCCTATCATCCATATAATGTCAAATTCTTTTGAAAATTTGGTTACCATCCCAATCCATTCAAAATAAGAGTTTGCTGCTAGCTAGCCACAGTAGGTAGATCAAACCTTAGAAAAACCTGTCTCCCCTAAACCTCCTCTTCTCCAATCTCAACATTCCCAAGTCCGTCAGCATTTCCTCATAGGGCCTCATAAGCCCTGATTATCCTTGTCACTCTCCTCTGCACCTGCTCTATTCTGCCGACATTCTTTTTGAAGTGAGGCATTCAGAACTGCACACAATACTCCAGGTGCAGCCTGACCAATGCAGTGTACAGCGGGACTATGACATCTTGTGATTTGGATGTTATGCCTCTGTTGATGCACCCCAAGATCACATCAGCCTTTTTTGTTGCCGCATCACACTGGCTGCCCATATTTAACTTACAGTCCACCCGTATCCCAAGATCTCATCCACACACACTGCTACCCAGAGGTGTATCCCCCATCCAGTATTTGTGTTCCTCACTTTTGTTACTCAGATGTAGAACTTGGTTCATATCCTTGGTAAATTGCATCTTGTTCACATCTTTGTGTTTAGAACACATGGGTACACACAAACTCATCCTGACCTCCATGAACACTCTGATATCCATAAAGGAAGATGAACTAAGGATCAGAATGGTGGAGTGAAGGGAAATCCACCCAAACCTGCAATGGAGCAAGTAAGGAATGGACCTTATTATCTTTTATTCAGTAATGAATGGCTGGATGCAAAGTGCTGAGATGCAACAGGGCCACCACCACATGCACACAAATTATGTTATATTGTTATACTGTTATATTAAACAGCATACTGATTTTGAAACTATATTTAATCTTAGTTCAGAAGCTCATATTCTCATCCCCCTTTTGTCCCTAGCTGAAATAAATATCAGTAAATGCATGAGCTATTTCTGCTTCAGGGTAAACCAGTACATGCTGCTATGTGGAAATAACACTCAACATGGTATACTGGATAAAATTTTAGATCTGCAATGGATTCAAACCCGAAATCAGCCATGTAACGTGCCAGGCGACTTTGGGACAGTCACTACATCTCAGGCCCAGCTTGTTTTACAGGACTGATGAAATGCTAAAGTGAAACTGGAGTAGGCAAAGACAGACTGATCTGTGATCTGAAGGTGACAGACTGACTTGATCTGTAACTTGAGGTTCAAGTTCCAGCCACCAGCCACTTCCATATTTGGGTCCTCAAAAATTCTATCCAGAAAGATGTGCCCCTTATTAATTTTTACATCCATTGTTCTGGATCTTCCTGTCCAGATAACTTTAATCTCTAGAAGGATAGTTTTTCTTCCAACAGTGCTGAAAATAAAAACATATTTTACCAACAAATGTAAGTCATTATATCAATTTTTCAGAGCCCATAACTTGAATTACTGCTTTAAAAGCTTTGTTAAAAGTAAAAGCCTTGTTATCTGGCACTTGATTACTCAGAATGCTCAGTTAACCAGCACTGCAAAGACAGCAGGCCTGCCTTGAGCTGTCAGGAGCCAGCTCTGCTGGGGGGCTCTTGGGCAGCTGGCCTGCCTGCCTGCCTACAATGTAGGACATCTCTGTGGCTTGGGGGTGGGGGGAGGAGTATATCAATAGGTATGAGGGCTGTTATCATGACATTCCCAATGGGATGGGGTTTGGTTGCTGTGGATTCCTTCATGTAGGAGCCAGGGATAAGCAATAAAGTTTGGTTTATACTTTAATAACCAGCAACCCTCATTCCCCATGAATGCTGGATAACAAACCCTTCACTGTAGTTGGAAGAGACTACCAATTAAAGTCTAAACTTTTGTTTGTGCTTTGGGGAGGGGGGGCAGAAGGAACAGAAGCCTCAGATCATGGGGCTGTCATTGCCTTTGATCTTGGAGCTTGAGACACCAGCCTTACTTGTCATTAGCTACTGAGTGTGTTTCCCTTCTCATAGATATTGCCCTGGAAGACACCAGTGTGATACATTTCAGCTGGCTCCCTCAAAATGGGGCTGGACTGCTGTTCCCTCTGGCACAGGGCTTGTGAACTCATGGCTGGAAAATTCTTGGAGATTTTCTTTTGGTGGGGGAGCCTGGGGAGGTCATGGTTTGGAGAGGGGCAGGATCTCGGTGGGGTATAATAACATAGAGACCACCCTCCAAAGCAGCCATTTTCTCCAGGGGAACTAATCTCTGTTGCTGGAGATCAGTTGAAATACCAGATTTTCAGGCCCCACCTGGAAGCTGGCAACCCTACTCTGGCAGCTTCAGAGCAACTTGCCCAGCTTAGTTTGCCTGCAGAAGCACAAACTTATGCTGGGCCTGGCTCCCCAACTCTGCCCTAACTGCAGTTCCTAACCACCACCGCTGCCACCACCATCCTTTAGATCCCAGCATGCCTCTGGACAGAGTGACTCTCACCCCACTGATGGGGTGCCACTCCCAGTCAGAGCAATCTCGACACCTGGCCCTTGTGGGGCTGCACCCACCTCTCACTTTGCTTATTTACCACGGTAATAAAGCTTTGCCAAGTACCTTAGACTTATTTGAAATATTATAATGCTTTTACTTCTTTTAGTCTTGAATTTGTACTAATTTTTTTGTAATTAGAAAATGTTACAATGCATATTATTAGAAAAAAATATACATTTTAGTGATATAAAAAGAATACCTTAATTCCACGGGTGGTCATCTTTGTGACCGATTTGAAATCTGAAACCATGAAGGCTACTAGATAGGTGCTCATCTTTACGCTAGTCTCAAACTCATCTTCAATGAGCCATTCCATGATGTTTACCGATTTCACCTAAATTTAAAAACTCCATTACATCTTATCTCTCTCTAGCTTAGACGTGCACGTACAACACACATATAAACTATATTTTACAGCTCTATAGCTAAGGACTATGTACTATGTACTACCTTTTAACAATTGCAAACATTATGCCTTGGATTCTGTGTAGAATTTTCACAGGGAAAAGGAGCGGAGGGGCTTTTTGCTGTTCCCCCATGGGAGTCCAAAATGCCCCCCTGAAATGCTGTTCTTGGGGGACAGTGACCCCCAAAATAGTTTGGGTGGGAATCAGAGGTCTGCCATGGAAGCAGTGGGGAAATCAATGAAAATCATCCCCCTTATGCCTTTGGAAATGTAGGCAGAATCCAAGTCGTGGATACCAGATACTTGCTACAGGCTACCAATATTATGGCAGGACAGTAATGTGGTAACTGGTATTTGCTTGCTTCTGGAGACTTGGGAATAAAATTTAAAATATCTTGAATCGAGCAGGAAAAACAATGGAAGTTTGGGTTGCCTGACTAACAAAGCACAAAATTCATCCCGGGCAGGTTCTCATCCTGACCACTGACACAGGCTTTCTTATGTCTCTAGAACTAGCAACCTCTTCCTTTCTTTGAAGCTGAAACAAACAGCAACTCTCCCCCAAAGCAAAGAGCTGGTCTCATTCTGCATGGTAGCCTCTATCCTTTCTCAAAATTGAAAAAAAGCCTGCAAGCTCAACAAGATTGGGAACATCTATAGTAGAAGCTGATTGCTCTCTAGTTCTAATACAAGTAACCCAAGCCTCACAGCCTTCCTGCAGCTTTCATTAAATTAACAGTTTTCATGTTTCCTTTTGATTTGCTTCCTTATGTAAATGACAAAAAGAGTAACAAGCACAGTATTTGCAGTTTGGCTGTTTTTTCAAAATTGATCTTTACATTTTCTCTGTTTTATCCTCTCTCCCTGAACTAGGCATTTAGAAGTAAATACATACTAAAGGCATGTTAGATAATGCATGATGTTTTGGTTCTCTTCTGATCTTAACAGAAAATCTAGCCTTGAATGCAGGTTCATCAAAGCAAGGGAAGGCCATTCGTGCGGCTGTTGGTTCAAACTGTGTTAATGCAAGCACCCTAGAATTCAGAAAAAGAAAGTATTACTTTGATATATATGATATACATAGAAACATACTATAAATCACATAATGGACAGCTTATATTTACTCATCAGGGACAAATCAGAAACGATGCCAAAATCAGAATAGTTTAGACTGCATTCAGACATAATATTAAGCCAACATGGTGCCTGAATCCAGCATTACCAGGATCATATGCCTACCTCACTTGGCCTGCTCCCTGTCACTTCTTATGCAAAGAGGTTAAAAATAAACTCATTACCCACAGCATACAAAGACTGGTGCTTGAGTCAGCTGGATTTAGTTTTGTCTGGACAAGCCAAGATTCTAAGCCTTGTGGGAAAATAAACAAACAAAATGGGAGTCTAGCCTCCATTAGAGCATAGTGGACAGGTCACATAAGCTCTGTGCTAGGCTAAAACCTCAAGGCCAGAGTTTTCCTGATTGCCGGACTCAGTAAGGGCTTATCATGGAAGGGGCAGATGTTTCTTTCTTAGTTGTTGTTCTCAAAACCCTGCCTTCTAAACATGTACCTCTGATGTCATCTAGAGCTATAACATTCCTTTTGAGCAACTTAGACATGTGCAACATCAACATTTTTTTCACTAGTTATCATTCTTGCCTTTATATACACTGTGCTCTTGTTTTTTTGCTGATCCTCTTCTGCCACCCCACCCCCCCCCAAGGACCAGACACTTTTGCAATCAACTGCAGTAAAACTGCTTTCGGTGGACTCATTCTGTGTTCTGTTTTTTTATTACGGCTGGCCCAATGAAGCCCCATTTGGCCCACAGGCCAATTGCCTGTCATCCTGGATGAAACCCTGGTTTAGAATCACAGCTTGTGAGAGAAAACTAGCTTCAGTTAACCCAGGTGATTTTGTTGTATGTCACAGGTAACTGGAGTTAATTTTAAACCAGGATTCTTTGTGCTCCATGTGAAAAGGAAGGGGAAAGAAGCAGGGTTGAGGTGTATGCGTAAGACAAGTACCAAGTTAGATTCATGCACAATGTTGTCATAATGTCAGCTTATCTGAATGCAGCCTTTGGTGTCATGAGCTATCTTTTCTAGCATTTACAGCTGAAAAAACTGCTCCAAGACTAGTTACTTAACAGTGAATTTATTCTGATACTTCTAACTTGTCCTCTTCATCCCTGGTTCCTATGTTTTAGAAAAAGAAACATAAAACATTCTTGGAAAAGGCTTGGAAACAAAGTTGTCCCTAGTGTTGCATATGCCTTAATCTTTTATAAATACTAGTATTCTAAAATGAGGTCTGGAAGCACTGAACTTTTGTTTCTTCCACTAGAAAAGGGTAGCCATTTCCTGACACTGTGCTACTGAAGAAAAGAGCACCAAACACCCACAGCTATATAGGCACAGGGCCAAAATCTGCTACCCAGGATAACTACATAAATATAACCTTAATTTCAAATGTTCTTATGATAATTTTCTCAGACTAACAGTGCCAACTTAAAGCTTCTAAGTCAATTGAGGTCAGTGGACTTAGAAGAGTATAACTATGTTTAATATGACATTGTTAATTACTCTTATGCTAAAAGAAGATAAAGCAAACCAAGCCATCCGTGTACTAGCTGTGATAACAAATATAACATTAGATAATATTGGGAAGGGGGGAATGATGCTTTCACAATAGGCATGTTTATAGCTTTTTTTTTTCTTTTTTTTTTTAATCCCCTGAAGGCAGGGTAGCTTTATTAATTTTTGTTACACCTACATGACTACAAAGAGGGGAAAAAAAGAGCGGAAAAAAGAACAATTTGTATGTTGAAAAAGGTTAATATATTTTGGCCCCAGTCACACGGGAGGTTTTGCCCCGCAAGAGGGATGGATTGGGGGCGCAGCAAATGGGCGCGATCATACCGCAACATCTGGGAAGCGGCGCGCACCCGTCCCCGATCCGTCCCTTCAGGCCAGAAACGCGAAGCAAAAAAGAACCTGCAAAAGAGCAGGACTTACCTGAAACGCCATGGCAAGCGCGGCCGTGGGATCGCCTGTGCGCCTGTCAGGAGCATTCGAGGCTCCTGGCCAAACTGCGCATGCGCACACATGCGCAGCCTGCTGCCTCGTTCTCCCTTCAGTGGCTTCCCCCCCCCGGCATCTGATCGTGCCAGGGAGCAACTGCGCGCCGGCTCAGGGGATCTGTCAGATCCCGCCGCCGCGTGTCTCTTTTGGTGCGGCTCTAAAAAGCCGCACTTTGGCCGTGCTTCCCCCACCCCCATGTGGCAGGGGCCTTTGTGCTCCTAGGATTACCACATCAGACCTTTTCTAGTGCAGAAGAGGCCATGACTCCTAGATACTATGTTTCAAACAGCCAACAAGGCACATCTTTAAAACATAATCTGTTCCTGAGAACAAGAAACAAATCCATCAATCTTTGAAACTGAACAGCCCCATTTCTTCCCTTTGATTAAAATGGGGTGTTTCTTTTGTTATAGGCTGCACTAGCCAGGGTCACAAGCTGGGGAAAAACCAAAATATTTATAGCATCATTTATGTAAGTTTCTTCAACCAGAAAAAGTGAGTGAGAGCTTTCTCTTGGTCTTCTATTATTATATAAAATTCATTTTGAGTTCGTGAATACATATGAAGTGAGGGGACCAGAAAGATGCATACCTAAATGGAAATAATGGTTAGCAACCACAGCTCAAGAAGTAGCTTATACCAACCAATCAAATGCTAGTCTGAAAGAAGACTTACCTTACTTCTCCTTCTGGAGTTCTGTATGTACTTTTATAGAAGCCATGGAAACTGTCTGACAAATTAGCAGAATATTCAGTAACAATAGAATAGTTCTTTCCAACTTGCAGTGGTTCATCAGTAAGAAGTGCAATCTGTTCAAATGGTGGATATTCTGAAACCGTCACTCCTTGTTCAGCATGAATGCCTCCCATTTCTCCTTGGATGGTTGCTTTGGAGATATGGAGATATTTGCTATGCAGGATGATTGAACTGGTTTGTTGAAGTACTGTAATCTCTATTTTGGCAAATCCAGTAAAAGTAAGAGTGGTCAGATTTGGGTGAATAAGAAGGTCATAATGAATTGGAACAACATGCTTGGGAAGCCTCACTTTATTCCAAGGAAATGGTTTGCTTGAATAGCCTGTCTCAGTATGGTGATCGCAGCTCAACAGAGTAGCAAGATTTAGAATACCCAGCAATAAGAATATCTTCACCATCTTCAAAGCAAAAGTCTGATCTCAAAGACCATAAAATGCCAGGCTGTTCAGATGGTTATGGTATCCACGGTTGCAAATCTAGAACAAAATTTTTTACATTAAATCAATGCATGTATAATTCTTGTTTTTCCTCATTGGTGCTTCATTTATAGTCCCATTGACTTCTATGACTGAATCTCCAGACATGTTTAACTCCTGAAAGTAGCCACAAGGGGTTTCCAATTTGAATCTGGGCCACAGCACTGTGGAAGGAGGAGCTGAACTTTGCCCCACAAGCTGCTACTCACCCCAGTAAATAAAAGATATAGGCATTCATACTGCAACTTTCCCCCTACCAAAGTGGATAAGACCTGGTGGGGAGGGTCTGCACAAAACTGGCATGTGGAGAAAGAGTAAACGCCTTCTCCCAGCGCTGTGGGTGACAGTTCAAATTATGCCCATATGCTTTTTAGGGTTACTTGAGTTGGCACTTTTGCCAGAGTTATTTAATATTAATATCAAACAGTAGATATCATCTTCAGCGCTTTGGGGTTGATGGCATCAATGTGCTGACAACACCTAACTCCAGGTTTCATTAACTAACCTGCCTTTTCTGTACCAAACTCATGCACACAAACTGTGGTCAAGTGAATGGAGGTGAACAAATCAGACAGAATAGAAATGCCAGTGTTGTAGAAGAGATTGGTTTGACTATGACAGATGGAATTGCTGTTACCCCACTCAACCATGTCAAGAGCCTAGAATAGCTACTGAATCCAGGCCAGCTGCTGCACTGATACAGCATAAAGGTTATTTTATCTATTCAATGGGACACAGATATGAGCTTTGGGGTTGCACACCTTTTCCCATCACTTGTGTACTTCAGTGACAGCTGAAGTATAGGCAAGTAGCCTTTGAACCACCACACACACACACACACACACACACAAAGAGATGACTGCATGAAGAGCACTAGTCAAAGAACTGCTTTGGTTCCTGTTAACAGTTAAAGAGCTACCTCAAACATTTTAAATAAAGAAATAATCCAATATTTTAAATAAATGATTTGCCAAGTGGGGAATAATGCACAAGGCTATGGACCACTATACAGACATCAGTTGCTCACTTCCAATAATAGGCAACACCTCTCAGCTATAATTTCCCACAGCAACAAGTTCCAGTAGACTGAAGGAAGGAAATGGAGATTTTATGTCAGCCATGGGCACCTACCTGACTCTCTGGTGTTATCTGAATGGGCTGGAGGACTACAGGCTTTGGTGTAAAAGCCCCAGCCAGAACTGTGCATATTTCTCACTTACTTAGCAACCCAGCTGCACAGGGCATCTGGTCAGATCTACTGGTTTTCCAGTTTAAAGTGCCTGATGGAATACACCTGGGCTGTGCCCAATGTTCCCCCTAAGCTGTGGAGTCCTGTGAGCAAAAATCCTACTTTGTGAGCTACTGGCATTAAAGCTGTGAGCGGGCCGTTTGGCTACTGCATACATTAGTTTGCTCTGGAGCCTCATCCTTCCTGAGCTCAGACAAAAATGTGTGAGCTGGAGGCTAAGAAACTGTGAGCTAGCTCACGTTAACTCAGCTTAGAGGGAACACTGGCTGTGCCCTGAACTGGCCCAGCATGTTTGAATCAAGAGTCTCCTTGGGAGAGTCAGGGGTGGCTTGTTTGAATATGAGCCCTCAGTAGTAAGGATAAGAGTGGTCCTACAGACAAAGAACAGTAGGAAAGACCTCAGACAGCAGAGCTGGCAAAACTCCCTAAACTGAAACTCACAGGTACAAGCCCAGTTTACTACCAAATCAGTTAAGATTGGTGATCTGAGGGGGCGCAATGGGCATGCTTTGCGCCCCCCCCCCGTACCACCACCACCACCACCACCCGATACGCTGGGAGGACTGTCAACTCTGGTTGGGAAATTCTTGGAGATTTGGGGGGCGGAGACTAGGAAGGGCTGGTTTTGCATAGGAAGGGGAGCTCAGCAGGGTAATAATGCCATAGAGCCCACCATCCAAAGCAGCCATTTTCTCCAGAGGAACTGATCTCTCTCTGTCAGCTGGAGATCAGTTGTAATTCCAGATCTCCAGGCCCCACCTTGGGGGCTGGCAACCCCCGTCCTGGAGTTCGCAGGGGCGGCCCGGATCACGGGAGGATGGCTTGGCTGAGCCGTCCTTCCCAGGCCAGCACTAACAACTCTGGGCTTGACAGAGGCTGCTTCGGGGGCGGCGAGGACGGCCTGCGGGAGATGGAAACAGGAAGGCTGAGGTCTGAACTCGCGATATTTGTCGACAGGAAATACTTCGCGATTTACACGCTTTATGACAGAAATCTCCTCGCGGTATCCTGAGAAGCCACGCTAATGGCGCGAAGAAGCAGGGTGGTGAGAAGCGCAAGGGGCTCGGGGAAGCGTCCTGGAGACGATCGAAGGGCCGGGGGGGGCTCAGCTGCAGGACAGGTACTGAATGCAGGCAACCCCTTTACCTGTTCCGAGCTGACCCGTCAGGCCGCAGCCTTCTGCACCCCTCGGGCCGCGCTTGAGAGTGAAAGCGAAAGTGAGGTGCCTGGGAGGGAAGTCCCGCCGCTCAGCGTCTGCCGCAGCCCCAGGAATCTTCTCGTAGGGCCGTTTCCTTAAGTGCTGCCAGCGCTATGATCAGCCTGCTTTCGTCGGACTCCTTTTGTAGGGTAATGAGGCATCTCTAAAACCGGTTCTGTCTTCTAGTAGGTACATTGTCTAGTTGCTCATCGGTGCACAGCAGGCACCTGTTTCACCCAGGCATATGTACGGATATCTAGAGCATATCTTCCAAAGTTTTCTGTTGGGCTGGCTGAACATCAGCTTCCTCTTACAACTTTGCTAATTTGAGTTTTGCAGCCGTGCAGGGGACACGACACGGTGATGTTAAAATTGCCGCTTCAGACTCATCAGACACGGAAGAGACATAGCCATGTTAACTGTCTTCACAACAAAGTTGTGAAGAATTGCCCTTTGTGCAGTCTCAAACATTACAAGATATGATCAAGATGGGTAGCCGTGTTAGTCTGTCTGTAGCAGCATAAAAGAGTAAGTCCAGTAGCACCTTAAAGACTAACAAAATTTGTGGCAGGGTATGAGCTTTTGTGAGTCACTGCTCGCTTCTTCAGAAACCAAGAAGTGAGCAGTGACTCACAAAAGCTCATAGCACAAATTTTGTTAGTCTTTAAGGTGCTACTGGACTATTACCCTTTTCTACTATTACAAGATGTGGTATGATTTGTGTCAACTATGTGCCTTCAAGGAAGATGAGTAGCCACAGCCACAAAGTTGCGCATGGTAAACATGTGCTTAGGAGCGCACACTATTCGTTTTCACAGCAAGTCCCCTCCTTTAAGCATTATGGTTTGTATTCTTCCTACAAGGAATGAACACAGAAGAAACATGTCTGCTGTATAAATTGGCTCTCAGAGCAGATTCAGACATGGTAACATTCCTATACAAACAACATATTACCTCATGGATCATTATGTGTCCAAATGGAAAAGTATATAATGTTAATTGGTAATTCCCTCACCAATAAACCATGATGTTCAATACTCTATCCCTTGTGTTCTTCAACTACAATGTTGCTAAAAGACAAAAAGATTAGTGTTCCAGTCTAAGCAACAGCCGAGAAGAAAGCCTTCCCTAGGGCACATCTGGCAAAAGAGGTGGCATAAAAATTCCCTGAATGAAATAAGTTCTTAGGCTGCTGCTGTGTTTGCAGGATCCCGCTCCTGTTCTAAGAAGTGATTATCACTATCAGAGTAAAATATTATAATTAAATAATAATAAACATCTGACATGCCTGTTGGACATAATAGGTTTAAGCACATACTGGCCCAGGCATCTCCCTCTTTCCACTCTTAAGGGATGATACAGGGTTAGCATCATTTATGGCAAGTTGTCCGTGCACATTCAATAGAGCAGGACACAAGCTAAGTATACAAAACAAACTACAAGGCCCCTTGCACCCGCCATTTATTTGTTTATTTAATTTATAGTCTGTCTTTTTCATTGAGACTCAAGGCTGGTTATTGCATTTGCATTGGAAGAGACCCATATAGAGGTACCTCTATCTGCATGCTGATTGTTATTGATTGAGTAGCATGCTTAAGGTGGCTAGAGTTCCCCTTATTTAAAAAGTATCTGTTCATGATATTTGAATATTCAAAATTACAGAACTGATTATAGAATAGATACCCTAACTTTAGTGTTATTATTCACTGCTTATTTATTTATTTAAAGGGGCCACGGTGGCTTAAAGGTTAAGACGCTGAGTTGCAGACCGGAAGGTCGGTAGCTTGGCAGTTCAAGACCTGAGTGCCGTGTGACAGAGTGAGCTCCTGTCTTTGGCCCCAGCTCCTGCCAACCTAGCAGTTCGAAAGTAAGTAGATAAATAGGTACTGCTTCGGTGGGAAGGGAACAGCGTTCTGTGTGCCTCAGTGTTTAGTCATGCCGGCCACATGACCACAGAAAAAGTCTTCAGACCGCGCTGGTTCTTCAGCTTGGAAACGGAGATGAGCACCACCTCCTAGAGTTGGATTTGACTGGCTTTCGAGCAAGGGAAACCTTTGCTATTTATTTATTTACTAGGAATAAGGCTCATTGTGGACATAAATACAACGAGCTTTAGGAAGAGGCTCTGGGAGAGTGCCCCGGCCTTAGGCACTCAGCGTCAATTTGCTGTGGCGACCTCAGCAGGGTATAATGACACAGAGTCCACCATTTTCTGCAGAGGAACTGATCTCTGCTACCTGAAGAGCAGTTGTAATTTTCAGTGATCACCAGCACTCCCCTGGAGATTGGCAACAATGGATCCCCATGAGGGAATGGCTGATTTGGAGTCTATGGCATTGTTCCTGTCTGAGGTCCTACCCCTCCTCAAACCCCACCCTCTTCAGACTCCACCCCTCAAATCTCCAGGAATTTCCCAACCTGGAGTTGGCAACCCCATCTACTTCCCAGCTAACCATCCACCTACTGTTATCTGCCCATCTGATTTCAGCTTTCCATCTCCTCCCCCTCCCTCCTGGAAAGCAGTTGTAATTCTGAGTGATCTCCAGCCCTCACCTGGAGATTAGTAACAAAGGTTCCCCAGGAGGAAAAGTACAGTCTTTCTCTGCAATGGGGACCAAAGCAGCTTACATCATTGTCCTCTCCCCCTTTTGACTTGCACAACAACCCTGTGAGGTAGGTTAGGCTGAAAGTCTGTGAGTGGTCTGAAATCACCCACTTAGCTTCCACAGCAAGAACCTGGGTCTGGCAGACCCCGCTCTGAAGCGCTAACTGCTATGCCACACTGGCTGTGGTATTGCCTGGTATCACAACTGAACTCCAGACAACAGATATCTCCCTCCCCCTGGAGAAAATAACTGCTTTGGAGGGTGGGCTCTATGGCATTCTGTTCAGCCAAGGCTGCTCCCCTTCCTAAACTCTGGCTTCCATAGACTCTACCATAAAATCTCCAGGAATTTCCCAACCTGGAGCTGGCAACCGTAGTCAGGACTGGCCCCAATGAGTTTTCTCCCAGATGCCAAAATAGGTGTAAAAAGGGTCTCCTCCCCCCACTTTTACTGATAGAACCAAGCTTGGTTGCCTAGCAACAGGCACTATGGGGAAAGGAGGTTTGCCAGCTGTAG